GTTTTGCAGAATTCTACTCTATCCTTTTCTTTGGATGCCTAAACTGTATTTCTAAATGCTCCACTGCAATGATAGAAATTTGGAGACTAGAGCAAAATTTCATGGTGGAGGGACAGAATAACTTTATTTGGATGCAATGTCCTTATTATCTTCCACCCCATTGCTACACCCCTGGCTAGAGATGGGCTGTCATTTCCGAGAGGTAATTTCAAAAGTGCCTTGAGAAAGACTTGATATCCCAGGATGAGAATAAATTTCATGTAACTTTTATTGTTACTGTTGTTGTAGGTCTTCAAGTCCTTTACTGACTTATGGCAACCCTAAGGAGACCCTATCATGGGGTTTTCTTGGCAAGATTTGTTTCGAGGAGGGGTTGCCTTTGCCTTCTTCTGAAGCTGAGAGAGTGTAACTTTCCTAAGGTGACCAAGTGGGTTTCCATAGCTGAATGGAGATTTATCCCCAGTCTTCAGAATCATAGTCAAACACTCAAACCACTACCACTGCTTTTGTTTAAATATTTGTTTTCTTTCCCTGCAGATTTCAGAAATGTTAAAAATGAGCAAAACCTGTGGAGCAAAAAATGAGCAAAATGAAGAGTACACTCTAGAGAAAGGGATCCCTCTTTCAAACCACTTTTATTATAGTGTGTCAGAAGAAACAACCCTCTGTTGGTGAATTTTTGGAATATTTCGCAGGTGGTGAGGAAGGAGGCATTTTCAAATCTGTTGGATACACAGGACAGACTCTATAGTATAAGAAGAAAAACACTCCAGAGCCAAAACTGTGGCTGAACTCTCTACAAAATACTAAATGGCATGAAACAGCTATTTATGGACTATAGGCGTTCCTGTTTTTCAATGATCTGCTCTTTCAAAACTATGGAATTATTGCCAGAACCCATTTATAGGATCTGCCCTTTTGATAAATATAAGCACAGATATAAGTATGACTATCTGGACAGTGCTGCATTATAAGCATATGATGACAGTTATAAGTCATCATATGGCACGGCTTGAGACAGCGTGGCATAGTGGTTTGAGAGCTGGACTCCAACTCTGGATGCCAGGGTTCAATTCCCGGCTCAGCTATGGAAACCCACTGGGTGACCTTGGGAAAGTCACACTCTCTCAGCCTCAGTGGATGGCCATGGCAAACCCCTCTGAACAAATCTTGCAAAGAAACCCCATGATAGTTTCACCTTCAGGTCTCCATAAATCGGAAATGACATGAAGGCACACAATAGCAACAACAAAATGACAAAGCAGTGGGATTGGGGACTTATTGATGATTTGTTCCCTGTCAATGAAAACAGACACTCAAACAACATTCAGGGACATAGCAGAAACGGTTTGGAGGAAAAGTTATGTGATAGGTACCACCAAATACGCTATTTTCAAACTTTAATTGAGGTTAAAAGTTGCATGTGATAAAGTCCTACAACTCTGGAGACCAGAGCTGGAATCCCTGCTTAACCATGGAAAGCCACTGGGTAACCTTGGGCAAGTCACACTCTCTTAGCATAAGAGGAATGCAAAGGCAAACGCTCTCTGAAAAAATCTTGTCAAGGCAAACCTGTGATAGGTTCACCTTAGTGTCATCATAAGTCAGAAATGACTCAAAGGCAAACAACAACAAGGAATAAGAGACCTCCCAGTCACCTTGTTATAAAATGCCCTGCTCAGGTCTTGCAAAGCTCAGGGCTGTGGCTTTTTTGATTGAGTCCACTCTGCTAAAGAGGTTTAATCTGTTACTCCGGAGTGAAGCACTAGAGCTCTCCAGAAGAGCTTTCTAAGGAGCTCACCCAACTACAAATCTCAGGATTCTCAAACATGGAGCTGCAGCAGTTAAACTGGCACCAAACTACTATAATTGCATTATATGGAGCTGAGACTTCAAGATAAGAGGAGCCAGAACACAGTGGCGTCACTAGGGTTGGTGTCACTTGCTTCAGGTGCAGAGAAAGGGCTGTCGGGGTGTGTGGCAGTGACACAGCCTACCCTACCCTGCGCTACCTTGGTCTTCCCTGTCCATCCTTCCTTCCAGTTGCCTTGCTTGCTCGCCCTTGCCATCCCTCCAGCCAGAGCTGGAAAGGGCTGCAAAGTGAGTTGGGCAGAAGCAGTGGACCATCCCACCCTCCATTCCCTGCCACTGCCTTACCCACTCACCCATCAGCTAGCCAGACCCAGAAAGGGCTGCTGGGGGTGCAGTGACAGCACGCTCCCTCCCTTCCCTCCTGCACCTTGCTTTCCTACCACTCCGCCAGCTGCCTGCTGCCTGGGTAAACCTGGAAGCAGCTGCTGTGGGGAGGCAGTGGTGCCCTGCCCCATCTTCCCTAACTTCCCTCTGCTTTGCTTGTCCAACCATCCATCCAGACCCTGAAATGCAGGGGTAGGCAACCTAAGGCCCAGGGGCCGGATGCGGCCCCCTGAGGCCTTTGGACCGGCCCCAAGCCGGTCCTGCTGCCGCCGCCCCGCCACTGCCCGCAATGATAATATTGATTATTGTTGTTATTACTTGTTCTTGGGGTTTTCTTGGCAACATCTCCACAGGGGTTTTGCCATGGCTTTTCTGGGGCTGAGAGAGTGTGCATGCATATTTTTTAATTTTAAAAATATATTTTTTAATTTTAATTTTTATTTATTTATTTATTTATTTTTGGTTCTTCGGCCCCCCAATTGTCTGAGGGACAGCAACCCGGCCCCCGACTCAAAAAGGTTGTCTACCCCTGCTGAAATGTCTGGGGCTGACCGGGTGGCAGCCTAGGCAGTTGGCTGGGCAGGAGGGTGACACAGTGGGAAGGAAGGCAGAGTTGGGCAATGCTCTGCAAAAAGATGAGGCAGATGAGAAGCGCCCACCCTACCTGGTGTTCGCCCCCTCTGAGCTGTCACCTGGTGCAGCCTGTCCCTCGCATTTCCTTGTGACGCCCCTGCCAGAATATTTGGTCTCCTTGGCAATACCTGTCAAATTAAATACATTAATGGCATCATATTATGCTTTTGAACATATCATGTTACTGTGCTCAGTTCCCTTCCCATCCTTGTTCCACAGTGGTCTATGCAATAGGGCAGGAAAATGCTTGTCCCACTTTCATGCCATGTGCTTCTTTTAACCGATATTGCCAGGGAGCTGCATGGATAAGATTCAACTGGATGGGTGGCAGCTATGCCCCGGCAACATGGCATTAGAAACTCTCTTTTAGGGGCAGAAAACCAGCCTCTGACTCCTGCCTGTCAGAATGGAGTTGGATTGGATAGCCTTTGTGGTATATGCCAACCGTATGTTTCTGTGCACACTATTGTGCACAAGCATTGGCCGTCCACTCAGAAATCACACTTCCAGAAACCCAGCAAGTGAGAAAGGCACCAAAATAATTATACTGCCCACCAATACCGCATAATTGTAGACCTTGGCCTGAACTTTTCTCATTGCATTTTTATTTTGCCAGTTGCAGCTGCCAGTTCTTAAACTCCTGTTTTCTTCAAACTGTGGACTTGTAGGGTTGTTTTCAACTGATTTTGCAGCCTTTACTTTGATGATGCTATATTTTGTGCTGCGTGGTGTGTTTATGTTGCATGATGGTGTGTATCTGGACATCATCCACTGGAGAAAGAAGAACCAAATACTAATGTAAGGTCAGCACCAGCCAACATCTCCTTGGAAGCAGAAATATGAACAGAGGCAGAAATGATGCAGTTTGACACCCCTTTAACTGACATAACTCACCCAAGCTATGGAATTTTGGGATTTGTAGTTGTTTATTTGAGATATTTAGCCTTCTTTGTCAGAGAGCTCTGGTGCCACAGAAAACTACACATCCCAGGATTCCACAGCATTGAGCTATGGCAGTTAAAGCAATGTCAAAATGGATTGTTTTGGCAGTGCAGATCCAGTTAGTGTTTGAGATGGAAAATTAGATTTGGAAAGGGTACCTTTTTGAGCCAAGATTTTATTTGATGCTCATGAAGCATAAAGTTCTACACCAAGGTCCAGGAGAGCAACATTTGTCAATCAGCAATGGCACCAGAAAGCTTTCTTAGTGTCCCCCTGTGGCCAATTGGTGGTCATTTAGGTTGTGGGGTGGAAATGTGCTCAGGTGCACAGATTGTTACACAAGGAGGTACTCTTGATACTTCCCTATGCAACATTAGAAAATAGCGACACTGGCCTAACACCTGGTTACAAACCCTCCAACATTTCACAAATGAACACCATACAGTTTTCACATATGGCTAAGCAATATCAGAGTGTGGTCAAGATGGCAAAAAATCAGGAAGAATCCACAAGCTAGGAGAGGATGCAGCACTTTGCTTTTGCCTGAGCCTACTGCTCCATTCTCACCTCTCTAACGTGATGAGTTAACTGAGTGGAAATTACTTTTGCGTCTTGAACTCAGTTTGCAGCAATGGATGTAAGCTGTGAACAAAGGTGGAAAGCAGGAGGAGGAGAAAGAGAGAAACTGGGACATTTTAAAAGCAGCTGAAAAAGTGGGAAGGCAGAGGATTCATCAAGACTGTCCTTGCCAAATTGGAGCAGCTGGAAAGTATGTGGTTACAACAGAGGAAGACGACAAAGGGATTCTGGCCCAAGGCAACAATAGCAATAGTATTTACATTTCTATAGCGCTTCATAGTGAACTTAGCACTCTCGGTTTACAATCTGTAAGCGAATTGCCCCCAACAAGCAGGGGACTCATTTTACCAACCAACATAAGGATGGAAGGTTGAGTTAACCTTGGAGCCCTGGGATCAAACTCACACCTTGCGGCTGCAGGACTGGCATTTAACCACTGCACCACCAGGGCTCCCTAGAATCCTAGTAGATGTACTGGTTGGGGGATACTGGGACCTGAAGTCCTTGCAAAGTGACTTTGCCAAGCTCTGCAGGAAAAAGGATCAAACAGAGCCTGAGAGTTTGACTGCTGCAGGAAACAGAAGAGGAGGCCCAAACTCAAATGCATCCCATCCAGACACCCGGCTCTCTGCCCCATTTACTACCATCCCTCTTCCCCCTCCATAATTCAAAGTGCCCCCACCCAGGCGTTCATTTCTTAGAGCTGCTCTTCTCGGGGAGGCCTTTGTGCCCCTTCCTAATAAGCAGTTCAAGATGAAAAGCAGAGCTCCTCGCTTCTTCTCGGCACTGCAACCAAGAGAGAGTGTGGCGTCTTTCAGGAAATATAATTCCATAATTAGTATCTTCCCCCAGGAATCAAACACCCACAGCTAGCAAGCAGCTTAGGCTTGCATTCATCACTGGGGTGGGTTCTTGCTGCCAGACATTAAATACTATTATCACCCAGCCTGAGATGCACAAACCGAGCTCCTTAGTTAAAACCTGGGTGGAGGAGTTTGGTCTGTCTGTCTGTCTCTCTCTCTCTCTATATATATATATTTTAAAAAAGAAACACCCACCACCCCCAACCATCTGCACTCCCCATCTTGGAGGCTAAAGCAACTCAGGCCCTATGTCTCTTTTTCTAAAACAGGGGCAGGAATATTGAGGCCCCCATGCCACATATGGCCCTCAGAGCATCCGGTGTGGCCCTCCATCACCTGGATCTTCACTACCATATCCCAAACCTCTTGGGGGCAGAGAATTGGCCACAAAATAGCGTAAGGATATGATTCCGCTCATAATGTTTCTCCTAAACAGCCCAAAGATGAAAGGAAAAAGGGCAGGAATGACCATGATGTCACTTCTTGTTTCGGTAAATGGTAGCATGGCCCACAGTAGGTCAAGAAGGCCTGAGAATGGCCCTCTGGTCCTCAGTATAATGCCACCCTTGTCCTAAGGGCAAGGCCATTCTATCATTAAGACGACACTGGAAGCAACATCTGTCATAAACTCAGAGAATACACACAGACACACATTTTGCAAGACAACACTCTTGCTCTGAGATTCCTCCCATGCTCCTCAAGGCCTGGAGGAGAAAGCCCATCCCTGAGGAGACCTGGGAAACTTATTGGGGAGAGATGGGATTCAGATTCCACACAGGGGATTGTGTCACTGCCAGGATGCCCCCCCCCCCCCATATACTTTAGCCTCTTATTAAACATGGATTATCAAACTCCATTCTGAAAAAGATGCCTGG